TATTGAAAATTTATAATAAAAAATAATTACACCTTTATTTTAAATCAATACATACATGAATATTTTAATATCATTCTTAAATTATGATTTTTATTTTAGATTGATCTTTAGATTTTTTAACGTTCAAATTTTATTATTAAACTATATATATATACTAATCATGTTTCTGTTAATAGAAGTGTTTGAAAAATATTAATATTAATATATTATCAAAATCCTCAATTGGTCATTGTTTGAATGTCATTTTAGGGCAGACAGTGAAAATGGGAACGAAATTGAATGTTAACATCATGAAGTGGTAAAACAAATGGGCAGATCTCTTATCATGCCTGAAACTTGTTAAAAGTTGAAAGAGAAGAATCAAAGCCGCGGCTTTTAGCTTTTTCTTGGCAATTTCCTTGTCCACCGCCTACCATCTAGCCGCGGCTGCTCCCCTTGCCCTTATCTCAAACTCCATGGCATGTGCACCAATGTGTTGAAATTGACTCTAATTTAGGGTTTGTTTAGGGTAAACTACACATTTTGTATCTAACCTATCAGTTTTGATCCGTTTTAGTATATGAACTTTCAATTTTTTTAAAAATCATACTTAACTTTCAGTTTTCATTTCATTTTAGTACCCGTCGTTAAAAATTTAACCCGATTAGTACTGAAACTACTAGTTTTGGTCCGTTTCAGTACCCAAACTTTCAATTTTTCAAAACTTAACGTTAATTTTCAAATGAGGTACTGAAATGAAACAAAAACTAAAGTTTTTAATGGAGGGTACTAAAATGAAACGAAAAAAAGCTTTAGGTATGATTTTGAAAAAAAAATGAAAGCTTAGGAATTAAAATGGACCAAAATTGATAGTTTAGGTACTAAACACGTAATTTAACCATTTATGAAAATACAAGTTAATTTAGAATTAGACCATGATTTAGTTATGGGAAACAACACATTCAGTACCCCAACTATCAACTCTGTTATATTTTTCCATCCAACTATTTTTTGTTTCAAAATCATGCCTAAAGTCATGTTTTGGTTTCATTTTGGTCACTTGTCATTAAAAAATTAACAAAACTGCTGACATGGAATTTTTTAATCCAACGATGATGTAACATTACCTTACGGTGACAGGCCAATATTACTGTTAATTATTTTGATAATGGATGATAAAAATGAAACCAGAACACAACGTTAGATATGATTTTGAAACAAAAAATAGTTAGGTGACCAAGAGAGAACAAAAGTTATAGTTGAGATACTAAACATATAATTTATCCTTCGTTTATTTGCTTGTTTACGTAGGCTACCGTATCAACAGACTCTGGCCTTTGATTGATTGGGGTTTCAAATATGCATGTGGCAATTGGCTTTTTTTAAAATAAAAAATTAAAAAATGGTATTTTATTTTCCTAGCTATTTACTCGTTTTAAACGACGCTTCTGATTAGAAAATATAATAATATGCATTAATTAATTAATTAATTTTGGTATAATCAACGATATCTTATCTATTGATTGACTAATTCGAATCGAGTACTGCAGAGATAAAGACGATCCTCTCAACATAATTTACTTTATTCAAAATCGTCAAATTCAAATATCTGACATTATTTAATGGATCATATATCTTATTTACTTGACAAATTGATTGTTGGTTGTATTAATTTATTTTGGTGCCGAACATGCATTGATTTCAAAGCGGAAAAGGTTGAAAGGATGATGACATTTTAGATGAAATCATTGCGTATGATAAAAGGTATTTATTTTCACCCTTGGTAAAATGATTGACAAAAAAATAATAATTAAAGAGTACTTAACTAAATTTTGTAGTTAAATTAGTCTATTATTCATTGCTCCGTAGGAGAATTATGGATTTACGTGTCAAAATTCTAAGGTAGTATTCCATTTGGTATTTGTAGATTCTATTATATTATCTATATAATTGTATTTATTAAGATATTATATTGTATTATTATAATTTTTATACATTGATAACGTTATAATATTCAAAACTTAAGTACGAACCAAACGACCTTAGTGGTAAAAGAATTATTATTCCTCAAGGTCGTGGGTAGGGATGGCAAACGGGTACAGTTTCGTGGATTCCGCACCGCATCCGCTCCAATTGGAGCGGGGATGGGTATAATTTTAGCGGGTAGTGGGCGGGTGTGGATTTTTAAAGTGGTACCCGTCGTGGGTGGTGGGCGGGTAATGGGTTTGAGACATTACCCGCCCCGCATCCGCCCCACATCCGCCCGCCCAACTAAATATCTATTAAATTTTGGACCATTATGAATTTAGGTGTAATTTTGGAGACTAATTTATAAATTTTAATATTGTATAATATATAACATATAATTTAACCAAATATTAAAGATATCTGGTCTTTAATTAGGGAAATATTCGGCTCTTTGATTAAACCCATAATCCCACTAACCACGTCACTTTCCATGTTCTTTAGCCCATGCTGCCCATCCAAACACAAATTAACCGTATTATAAGCATTAACATCAAAAGCAGTAGTTTCCATGTTCTTTAGCCCCTCAAAACCCATATTAGATGCACTATGAGCTTTAACATCGAAAGCAACACAACAATCCAGCTCTGTGACTACATGCTCCCTACAATATGTCTCCATAACATTTGTAGAGCCACTCCTCTGACATATTGAAGCATGCGCTGCTACCCCATCACGAACTGTTTGGGAACCAACTCCAACATCCCATTAGTTTGCTGTCAGGCGGGTCTAGATGGGTATGTCGCTAGTGGGTAGTGGGTGTGGGGATGGATTTGAAAATGTACCCGCGTGGGCGGGTGTGGATTTGAAAATTTGTACCCATCATGGGTGGTGGGCGGGTGGTGGATTGAAAAATATTAGGTGGGTATGGAGATGGAGGAGGGGGTATCCGCATCCGACCCGCCCGTTTGCCATCCCTAGTCGTGGGTTCGAGCACTAGGAATGTTATGTTTAATGTCAAATAATTGAGAGTAATATTTGAACATGTATTATCTTGTATTTACCCAAAATTAATAAAAAAATACTGACATATTTGTATCTAATATTATCGAGTTTAGAATTAGTACAACTAAAACTGTATGACCAAACTCTCAAAAAAATTTGTATGAACAAAAAAAAAATGATACTCTTAATCTATTTTCTTTTAAATGATCCAATAATTCTGATTCAAGCCCTAATATTTAGATTAAAGATGAATCAATTATCTTCAATAATATAATGAGGTTTTGACAAACAACTTAGAGTTGATTTCAGTATTTAGTTTGACCAATTATTTTGATTAGTTGATTTGATAAACTGATTTGATTAACTATTTATATAGAAGTGTTTGGTAAAATTTAATCGATAGTTGATATGTGTAAAATGACAAATAAGGGTATGATACATTTAGTTGTTAAGTACATATATGTTTTATAATACTTTAGTCTTTATTAGGGTGAAATTATTCATATAAAATACTTTTGACAATGAATTAAAAACTCCTTAAGAAAATTAGTGAATATTTTTGCAAATTTTGAATGTATTTTTTAAATTTAATATTTACAAATATTAACTTTGTGAGATTGATACATACTATTAACTTTGTATAAAATATCAACACTACATTTTTTTATTTTCATGTTTCTCTATATTTTCTTAACTAAAATATATTTGAGAATGTACGAATAAAAAATAAAATAATAAAATAAAATTTTATATTTAATATATTAGGATGAAGACTATTTCATTATATTAGATTTTATGGTAAGGATGTAATTATGAAAAAAAAATCAAATATGTCATTTAACATCTTATTTTGCAATCAGTTCTTCCAAACAACTGGATTTTTCATCATTTTCATTTTCAGCTTATTTTGCACAATAAACCATTTCAAAAACGTATTTAGCAAACATTAAAAATAAAATATTTAACACCAATAAACTATTTATGCTGAAATAAATTAAAAATTCTTTTAAAAAAATTGTTAGCCAAACACCCCAATACCTTTTTTTTTTAAATGAGATATGGGTGAAGAATGTGATGTTTGAAATAAACAAAGATAAATTACGCACTTGTTGGGTTGACTTAAGTTAGGTGAAAATGTTCATATAAAATATTAAAAATGTATAGACAAAGTCTAAGAATAATACATGTTCCAAGTTTTGATTGGTTTGTTTTGGACGTTCAAATAGAATAATAAAACCATTGTTAAAAGTCAAAATCAATCGAGAAGGGTATGTCTAGCTTGTCCCCCCCCCCCCGGCCCAACTAGGTCAGGCGGATAAAAAAATTAGTCAATTAAATAATCTCCGAAATTATTTTAAAATTTACGATAAATATCATAATATAAAGTAAATTATTCACATTGACGAATTTGATCAAATAATATTTTTTTATTTAAATTCATTGCCCTGAAATGACAATTTATAATAATATATATATATTTTTAAATTTTGTGACATTGAAGTGACAAATTATTTTATTGGAATACATACAAAAGCTAACATAAAAAAAAAATCATAACTGATTTCACTTCCTGTGTACATCAACTAAACAGAATCTGGATCTAGACAGTATTCAAGAAACAACAGAGTTGAAGTTGTACCTATTTACATACATCAGAAACCTCAGCCAAGCCATAAGACCACAAATGAAACTTGAAATTAAGAGACTCCAGAAAACACATATAGACCATTAGAAGAAATTACTTGCAAAGAAAGATAACTAGAGTCATTTATCAAGAAAAGCATCTTACGAGATATGATCTTACCAGAGCTAGAAGAAATTACATAATCAAAGAAAGATAACTAGACTCGTTTATCAAGAAAAGCATCTTACGAGAAATGAACTTACCAAAGCTAGATGACAAGGCATGACATCCATCCTTGACCGGTGGCTTTGATTTTAGCTTGCAAATTTCTGTTTCGAGTTTATGTAATCTTAATCTCATATCAACCAACTGCTGCATAAGAAGTCAAAATCTTAAGCATTTTAATTAAGCAAACTCGAATTGAGCGTCATGAAGGAAACTGATCGCTTTTCCGAGTAGGTATTTCCTTACAAGCTTGGACAGCCCCAAATCCTCCAGTTTCCGCTGGAAAAGCACCGTCAGAAATCTGTGTCTGAGTAGAATCTAGATCTTCCGTGCCAACGCCCAACTTATCTTGAGATGTTATTTCTGGTATGGAGCTTATGGATGCATCCAAACCATATTTGCAGCATTTACTGCAACTTATTGATTTTTCTGGTTTACATATCACTCTCTTTGAGCATACAAGTGTAATTCTCAGGTTCTACAGTAAATTTCCTGAAGTTTTCTTCCTCATGATCCCAAGTATCAGAAGTGGTAGAAGAAAGACGAATGAAATCATTTAATTGCCTCTGTCTACAACCATTGCTTCTATAAGTTTTCACATTACAATTCTGTGACAGATTGTTTTTGACTTCACCATCTAGAACAGAAGGAAGCCATGTATTTTGGCCAATCCATTGCAAATTCCTTTCCAACATTCGCCTCTTCATATTTGCACATCCATTTACATGCTTCACAGGAGTGTCATTTTCAGTCGGCTTTCCCAATCTATCCCAAACACTGCCAGGTCTGATTCCATTCTGATTGAAGGTTGCACCAGCTGCCCTGGAAAAGACCCTCCTCCCACCAACATTGGTCTCCTGAGAATGATTTAATGGTGGGGTTGCTGAATAAAAAACGTATACACAAAAGCCTTCAGATCGTTTTAGGTATCATCAATATCAGGGAATTGTTTTCCTATATAATATTAATGCAGAACACTAACAGGGGAAAACCACCCTTGATAGTTGATATCAAATTGAATAAACTTTGGGTTAAGGAAACCTCTAGTTTCTTTTAATTCAAATAAATAATAATGATAAGTTGTGAATATAATATTTTTATAGCTTGTTTATACTATGGTTAATAAGATAATTTAACCCTAAACCTAGATTTAAAAATAAGGAAACTTAGAATCCTAGCCATCTTAAAAAATCTTAAATATTCTTTCTATCAAAAAAATCTTTAATATTAAATAAAACTGAAATAAATAAATATTATATTAATATAAGCTCTACATCACAAATAATGAACTATAAGCAAAGTGTTGGATCCAGAAATTTCTTTTTGAGGGTAAGCACATCAAAACAAAATTTTTGTATGTGACAAGATATAAATAAAATAAAATTTAGGGTAAACTATGCATTTAGTAACTAAACTATCAATTTTGATACATTTTAGTACCTAAATTTTTAATTTTTTCAAGATTATACCTAACGTTTAATTTTTTTTCTTCATTTTAATACAGTCGTTAAAAACTTAATACGTATAATATCTAAACTATTAATTTTAGCTCATTTTAATATATAGACTTCAATTTGACTGCAGAGATAATAGCTACCAAATAAAATAAAATTATTGGGAAAGGCTTACTCCGATGGCCCTTCGGATATTGCAGGTTTTGCTCATATGGGAGCAATACTTCAGCAGATGCCTTTGTTTTAAATGAACACATATACAGGGAACCATCTGGATTATTTCCAAATGAACATGTTGCTCTAAAGTTTTCCTTAGATTTGCAAGGAAGTGCCGAGGCAAGCGCATTAGTTTCCCCAGCCAAAGTGTTGGTTAAGACCGGAAGCTGGTAACGAGGAACTGATCCTGACCCAGAATCTTGCGACTGGATATTGGAAGAAACATCATCAGCCTCAGAGGAATTTGGACCGGCGACGTTCTCCGAATCGGAGGAGCTCTATTTGCATTCGTATCATTGAAATCTTCAGAGAGAATATCCCATAGCCTAAACAAAAGACAATGTTCAGAGATTCAGCGTTAGTCGGTTACGGATTATAAAATGGATGAACATAGCCCAAATAAAAAATGAAGAGAAAAAGAATACCAAGATACAAAGTCGTCGGTAGCATCACCAAGAAACGGAATATTTGAGGTTGGGGTTGGACGCCATTAGTGATGGTGTTCGCTTCTTGTTTGCTTAGGGTTTTCGTTGCTCATTTCTTTCTATATTTTCTTATCTTCTTTCCAGAATTTCTCGAGAAACGGCTACGGGAAAGACAGAGGGAGGAGAGTTTGTTAACAAAAAGGACAGTCTCGATGAAAGAAAACTGGCGCCTTTTCATTATTTACCTCTTACCCCTGGAAACTAAGAAAATCACGCGCTCATTCATTTTTATTTGAGAAAATAATATCAGTGACAAAAAATGTTTTATAATATACGATTTTAATTATTTTTTTTAGATTTATCAAAATGACCAACTAAATCGCAATACGATCGATAATTCGTAACGCGATCTCCGATATCTCAAATCAGTTTCCAGATTCGCAACGCTACCACGACCACGACCCGACCCGAGACGAGACGGACGACAACGGCGTCGGCGGCGGCGCGCGAGAGTCTCCCTTGTTCTCTATCACTCAACAAGAAAGTGGGAAAGCCAAGCCTTAAATATCATTCCCAATAATATTTCTAATACTATGTGGGATTGAGCCTTAAATAGTGATATTATTTTTGAATGTTTTGCTTAAAATTGCAATAATCGCGATTGATTGTAGATTGAATTTTAATTGTGACATATTTAATCGTATAATACTAATGCAATTGGTTGCTGATTCAGTTGTTTTAAGGTGCATGATTGTTAATTGTTTCCTGAATAATCACATTGTATTGGAAACAAGTGTTGGTAATGCTCAATCCCACATAGTATTGGAAACACTATTGAGAATGATATTTAAGGCTTGACTTTCCCACTTCATTGTTGAGTGATAGAGAACAAGGGGGACTCTCGCGCGCCGCCGTCGCCTCTCATCTTGTCTCGTCTCGGGTCGTGGTCGTGGTAATACGTGTCTTCGACACGTCCGCGCGAATATTATCTTTTATATTATATGCTGTGGTTGGATGCGAGGATATAATTAAGAAATCTTTTAGTTGTGTAATCACATTTTTATAATTATTTATTATATTATTGTGATAATAATATTATTAAAATTTTAAGATTTAGATTTTGTTTGAAAATGTTTCTTCAAACAAATTTTTTTAACGACCGTTTTTTTAACTTTTTAATTTGAGTTAATAATCACTTTTTAACTATGAATTTTTTTTGTTGAAAATGAGATGTTTGAAATTATGTGTTTCAAATATATTTTTAAGGCGAAAACACTTCCATAAACATTTCCAAAAACGAATTTCGACAAGCATAATCTATTACTATGAATCCGCTACAGGATACGAATACAAAATTTATTAGTATTTTTTTTCATTGCTACAACAAATACAGAGATAAAATAAAAAGCAACAAATTTGCTGCTGTGTTTAAATTAATCGAGAAGAAGACATCCAAATTTGTTGTCCTGATGATCAGCTTCTGCAGCTTATATAAAAGTTTGCTGCAATGTATTTTGGATCTCATGTCTTTTGACGTCTCTCGCCTCCAAGGAGGGCCAGAAACGCCATATCTACGTAAATCTCAGCCGCAGTGAAGGAGCTTCACAGTCTAGATAAGAATTTAACCAGAAGAAGCCAGAAGAGTCGGGCCGTTCGTCCCCCAAGTTTCAGTCGAGTCCCACATGGACTTTCTCCTTGGTCCTCAGTGAAGCTTGTTGATTTTCAAGGGCAAATGAATGAACAAGCTAGCATCGTTTTGCAAACGCGATATATAAACGTTGTCATACTTGGATAATCAGAGTTGAAAAAGCACGATATATAAACATCGATCAGTTGAAAAAGTACGGTGACTTGAGAACCTCTCGCAAGTCAAAGTTGCCTCTCCCTGGGAGGGGAGGAAATATCAATGACGGATATGATGCCTTGAAGCTTTCAAGCAACTGCAGAGAACAAAAGGTTGGTAAAAATGAATGAGACGGAAATTTCAGCAATACTGGAGCTAAATATCAAATAGGAAAAGGTTTGAATTTCCTTTCACAGGGGTACCATTTTTCCTCGACATGGCAATCAATCGAAGAATCAAACATTCAGTCACAGGTTACTTTCCAAGAATAGGAAGACAGGGATCACCAAACTTACGTTTTCAAGAATCGGCATGCTATAAAGCTCCACAAATTTTTCTCGAAGTATCTGGTTCATCATCTCCACATCACATGCGTGTGTCCAGAAAGAGTCATGGACCCCTGCAAATAATTTTATTTGATGAGGACGTGAGCATTTATGTTACAGTGAAACATTATTAGTGTTTCGTTACAAGAATCATACGCTTTGTAACAAAAGCGGTGGAAGTTGATCTTAAACTAAGGGAAGTGAGAAATTCAGATAAAACGAAAAGAAACATATGCTTCAACCATGTTCCACATCAGAATGTCACCTTCATCATTGAAAGAATAGGCCGACAGAACAATTAAAGATTTTATGAAAACCTATAGTACTATCCTCAAAAGACTTCTCACTTCCTACCTAGCTTAGCAAAAAACCAACATGGACTAAAACTTCATAATAGTTGCAAGTAATGAAATGCAGCCAAAACTGAATCTACAACCGAAGCAGTTTAAGTTCCATACATCGATGCCAAATGTGACGAAGCTTTATAATGCATTCTAAAGGTATTAAGGTTCCTTGCTCCATTTTTTTAACAATGAAAAGAACGTTCCTTAAAAGAAACATGGAAACCATTAAATAAAGACTGTGGTTTGTGTAGTTTCCGCAATATTTTCAACACCCCATAACATTTATAACAGTTCAGTACATTTCTTTTCTGGAAATGCATTCACTTAAAGTTCTCCCTTTCAAAATAATATGTCAAAGTTCTTGAAAGTTAAAATTATTTGTTCTTATGCAAATAAGTCAAATCCAGATCTAGGCTCAGCTAAAAGTTATAATGACAGACCTGCAAAATGTAGACCAGCGTCTCTGCATGCAACAGCAGTCATCATCATGTGAGAACCATCAAGTGAGTGCACAAAATTTGGAGGGAATGCAGTTCTCTGTTTTCTAACATCTACCTGGAATTGATTAAAGATTAGTGTTTTTACCCTCTTAAGAACAAACCAAACACATATAGGAACTTAAAACAAGGGCTAGAATAAGGAACTTACCGAGCTGCCCTCCCGCTGCAGGGCTAATACTTGTAGAGAAGTTCTTATCTGAAAAGCATCAATGAATTTTGTTACTCCAATGTCAATATCATTTAATTGAAATATTAACCAAGTATGGCTAGTATTCTATTAAAGCGTATCCTAATCCAACTGCAATCCTGAAGCCTGGAGAGTATGAGCACTTTAAGAAAGACAAAAATCTTTAGGCCATGCAATATAGACAGAAATAATGGTTTTTCTTTTCCCTGAACTAGTTATTCACAAATACAGCTAAGAACATGCATTTATTAAGAGTATGAGGAAGCACTCCTCTAGCTCTAGTGCTTCTGCTTTGTCCCTCAAGTTATTGCAGTTGCAGATATAACAAATTGCATTCATCATCATTTTAATGGAAGGGAACCTTCCACAAACTGATGTGTCTTCCCACAGACTATCTCATTTGGCTTGGATGGGCAGATGAACTAGAAAGCCCCTCCTTTCAGTGGCCAATTTTCCTATTGGATTGTTTGAGATTAAAACTCAGTGTATGCCATAATACTTCTGTAAAAATGGAACAGGCTTGATAATCTGGTACACTGAAATTATAACACTCACAAGATGTCGTTCACTTTTATAGTAGGGCTGCACAACAGGGAGACCAAGAGGTGTTGTCCAGCGCACTGGCTGATTCTCTGAAGCAACAATCTACAATACAAGGATTTCACTGACTAATAAATTGATTGAAGTAAAAATCGTTGCTCCATAATTACCATAAGATAGTTTGTGTCATGTTTCTTGTAAAATAACAAGTCATACCTTTTCAGTCACCTAACCAACCCATTATGTTGCGTGCTGCTTGGAATAATTCTCCAAGGGCTGCCAATGTCACCTGTTATTTTTTTAATTCACCCTTTTTCACAAGATTATAAGCAGGCACACCAACAAATATACATACATGTATGCACACATATAATAGAACATTTCTTCCATCCTCCAAATGCTGATATAATAGATCTAGGAACCATACCCTCCTAAAATAAAAGGGAAAACAATCTAGAATACTCCCAGTTTATATCTTCTAACAGCAACAATTTTCGAAGTGTAAGATACTTATGTCAAGAAATTGAGAGAAGAAAGGGCATTGAGTACAATTGGAGTGAGAGAGAGAGAGATCTAAATGGATGCAAGAGCGCAGAAACCCAGTATAATGTATTAAATTATCATAATTTGTGCTTGCATAAGTATATAAAATTAAATGGATTGCTTACTTTAGCAGTGTAGCAAGCTGCAGAAAATAGCAATCTATCATCAGTTATATGACCCTTCTCTGCCAATCTTCGTTTTATTTGCTCACGCGCCCCAACAAAGGTTACACCATACACTGAGGTCATTACCGTTTGCTTCACTAATTTCCGATCCACCTTGAAGTTTCAACATTTTAATTCGTTAGTTTAAAAGGGAAAAAGTCCTAATTCAAAATCAATTGTAAATAGTTTAGATGTTAACTGTTCTAGGAAATCTAGTAATTTGAGTTTCATTAAAATCCAGTCTAACCTGATCAATTAAGAGCTTTGCCAATAGAGCATTGGGATTTGTCGCAGGATCCTTGTTACTGTCCCTCTTCATTATATTGTGAACCCTGTGAAGGCCCAGAAGATATAAATAGTGACAAGGAATAAGGAAATTCGTTATTTCTCATTTTTAGTACTGTATTTCACAATACATACAAAAAGACAAGTTTTCCTAAAGCTAAAGCAGCAACAATAAGAGATGAGACAAGCTACAGGAAATCTCGCTTCTAGGAAAATAATATTGGAAATCTTGCTTCCAGGAAGCATGGATATTAACACATAACACCAAAAGATAAGGCACCAAGAAAATAATATTAGAAATCTTGCTTCTAGGAAGCATGGATATTAACACAAGCT